TTACATATTTTGTTGAAAGGCCAAATAAGGAATTCAAACCAAAAAAAAGTAATTTTCAGTTTTGTTTTATTCTTGGATCAGGCTTTAAAGGGTTAAAAAGCAGCCAAATGCTTAATATTATTTCTATTTCTGCGTCTTTGGGCTTTAGATAAATTTCTCGGTGATTATTGGTTCTGATTTGGGTCTCTGTGGTCCCCAGACCCTGAAGGATGCTAACGAGTCGACGCGGCAGGACTTTCTTATTTTTTCTTCATATGTTGTTGAGGGGCCAAACAAAGACTTCTTTTTACGTATTTAGTTAAAAGGCCAAATAAGGAATCAAACAAAAAAAAAGTAATTTTCTGTTTTGTATTGAACTGTTTTGGATTCTTGGGTCAGGCTTTAAAGGGTTAAAAACCAGCTAAATGCCAATTTTTTTTTTTTATTTCTGCGTTTTTGGGCTTTTGGAGTCGGGGGATGATTTCTAAACCGTGTTTATGGGTTCTGATTTGGGTCTCTGTGGTCCCCAGACCCTGAAGGAAAAATAATCTTGATTTATCGCATAGTAATAAGGAGTTTTTTCTTTTTACATATTTTGTTAAAAGGCCAAATAAGGAATTCAAACCAAAAAAAAAAGCAATTTTCTGTTTTGTTTTATTCTTGGATCAGGCTTTAAAGGGTTAATAAGCAGCCAAATGCCAGATATTATTTCTATTTTTGCGTCTTTGGGCTTTTAGATTAATTTCTCGGTGTGTATCGGTTCTGATTTGAGTCTGTGTGGTCCCCAGACCCTGAAGGAAAAATAATCTTGATTTATCGCATGGTAATAAATTATTAATATTAAAAATATAAAAGAATTCTTTTTTTTCTTTTTACATATTTTGTTGAAAGGCCAAATAAGGAATTCAAACCAAAAAAAAGTAATTTTCAGTTTTGTTTTATTCTTGGATCAGGCTTTAAAGGGTTAAAAAGCAGCCAAATGCCTTTTTTTTTTACTTATTTCTGCGTCTCTAGGCTTTTGGAATCGAGAATAATTTCTAAACCGTGTGTATGGGTTCTGAT